AATTATAAGGGTTGTTGATGAATATTAAACATTATCAAAGGTTTTGATAAATAAAAGCTTTTTCCATGGATTGGCAAGTTATTAAAGGACAAAGGAAAATGCAAGCAGCATGTTTATCTGCTGGTTGATTTCAGTAAGGCATGTCCTGTCAGGTATTGTGGTGGAACCAGAAACTAGAATTCTCAAATGGTAACAGGATCAATATTCAAAACAAAAGTAAAGAAAAGAATGGAAGAACTAATTGGGAAAGGACAAAACAATGAAACTAAGTATTATGTGAATAACTCTTTTGAGAATCAGGACAGATGTGTTTGACATAAATCACAATGATTGCAAATACTTCCAGAGTTTAAAGAGCATGAGAGAAAATTGCCTCAATTATTTGCATTGTAAGAATGAGGTGTCAGTACTTCATGCTGCAAGTAAATATGTGCCAACTTGCAATAATTACAGGTCGAGACTTTTCAATTTAGCATCGTTTAGTAAAATACAGATGTGGTTGTTCTTCATGTTCAGCTGCAGGAAGCTTGATTTACAGCCTAATCCTGTTAATTTGAAGTTGAAAAGGATACATTTTCTAACCACTCAAGTTAGAAATTATGATGAAATTCACAAAAAAACTTTGCAGTTCCAGTAAAAATGCAATAAAACATCAAAACAATAACTCAACTTCACATTCATAATGCAAGCATTGTACAACTCTGCCACACAAGTTCAGTCATTTCAGGAAACACATCTTTGACTTGAAGCAAGCAGCAGCAACAGAGGGGACAGGAGTAGGCCATTCAGCAAATTGAACCACTTCAATTAGATCACGCTTAACTGTACCTCAACTCTATTTACTGTCTTGACTCCATAGCCTTCAATGCAAATCATCACTTTCTTTGATAAACTATTTAACACTGAGAATAATTGCAATTGAACATCTCTCTCCCTCTTTCAGCAATTATATATGCTGCTATTAATGAGAGTGAAAAACACCGAGTGATTCCAATGAACAGACAGAGATAAAGGGCTGTTTTTCCCATTTTATGGTGGTGTCATTTTTCAGGAGGTTTTAGGGAAGGCTTCCCACCACGATCCGTAGCAACCATTCTCATTTAATCTTCTGTTATTGCCTCAATCATTGTGCATCCGGGCTCCATATAAGCCTTCTCATGCAATTGTGTGGTAGCAAAGACAGAAATGCTTGCTTCTGTTGGGATCTTTCAAAGGCTGCAAGCTGAGACCTGGCCTTCACACTGTGGTCTGGGGCATGACCTAGAAGGAGAAGGTGTTAGCCTGCTTTGCCAACAAGGACATGGAGGATGGGATTGTGGAGGGGATGATCATTCTCTTTCCATCAGACCCCCAAAGTTGACCACAGTACCAGCTACTGCTAGCCTGGGTGGAGATAACCAGGCCAGTGCTGTCTTCAGGTGAGAAGCATTGCCCAGCAATTTAGACAGATGCTTAATGAACTTTTATGCTCTGCAAGGGTAAGTGACACAATTTTTTCTTTGTTATCTCACACACAATCTAACTTTGCCACAGCGCAGAGCTCCCATCAAGGCTACCACTCTCACTATTGCATATAGCGTTTCAACTTACCCAATTCTCACCCACTTTATCCTCCCAAACTACTGACATTTTTGGCCCTCGAAACTTCCTATTCATTTGCTGGGGATACCCCGCCATATTTTCTGCTCCTGCACTGCCGCTAACAGCTATTCCAGCCACTTCCATCTCACTCAATTCCTCCTTTTGTGTCATTGAAGGAGAAAATGTCAGTCAAGGTGGAATGTGCAATGACGTGTGTAGTGGTGCCCGATATTCATGTCCTCACCCCATAAGAGGAGAAGATCCTCAAACTGGCCACAGAAGATTGAGATCACTTGTGAAGATTCCGGGATCCCTATTTTGAAGCAACCAAGTTAGCTTCACTGTGCAGGGCTGCATTGCTCTCCTACTGCCACCATTCTGAAAGCATTCTTTACCAGATTGTCAGCAACAAGGCTAGGACAGAGATGAGTAGAAACTTATTTACTCAGAGAGTTGTTAGGATTTCAAATGTACTGCCTGGGAAAGTGGTGGAGGTGGATTCCACAGGAGATTTCAAAAGACAGCTGGATATATATTTGAAAATGATGAACTGAGAGAGTTATGGAGATAACATGGGATTAGCTGGGTAGATCTTTCGGGAGCTGGTACAGGCATGATGGGTCAAATGGCCTCCTTCTATTCAGTAAAATTCTGTGATTCTGTGCTTAAGTTTCCACCCTTATTATGCAACAAATGGCATCTCTTCTCTTACGCAGCTACCCCAAACAGTTCTGGCACAAAGAGGCCAGCCACTCCCCTTGGAGCAGGTAACCACTCATGCTTCAGGGGAATTTACTGGCAAGGCTTTCTTCTGCTCCCTCCACCAACTCAGAGACATTCACCTCTGTGGGTTTGTTTTCTAGATTAGACTCTGGAGCACAATCTGGTGAGCACATCACTAACATGTCTCCAGAGCCAGTCAAGGAAGGAAATTGCCAGGGGTCTAGCACTCAGAGGACTGCCCGATAACAGGAGCCTGCTCAGACAGTCGCAGGAGAATCAGCCAGCTTTGTCAAGGTACTTGGTAAAGAGGATAGAAGGTTGCAGGAGACCACTCATGTTGTTAGATCATGCCGGCTCTGACAGATGTGCATTTGGCTGTAAATGGAAAACCAGGCCCGGCAGAATGCCAAGTAGCTGTCAGAAAGGCATGCAGACCTGCACTCGATTGCTTTAGCTGTTGGTGCTCAGCATTAATAGTAAGGCACGGGGAGGATGAGGGTCCTCAACCTTAGTGCAGCTGCCCCTTCCTGTCATGGATGCAGGATGGTATGAGCAGGCACCCACACAGAGAGGCACCACACACAGACCCCTTAGAGGCTCCTTTCAGGACATTCCAGAGATGCCAAGTCCCACCACCTCCAATCTGCCTGAGATCCCCATTCTATGGGCATTGCAGTTGAGGAGGGTGAGTCTGCATCTGGACTGGACACTCTCAGCATGTTTAGACCCTCTTTCCACAAATGCCCCAGGGTTATCCACCTAAGTCTTCCAAGCCCAATCGTCTCCACTACAGTACAGGCTACCTCCAACCCAACTGTGGACCACAGGACTACACGTGGATATAGTGGTCAGGCAAAGGAAAAAAATAAATTCTGTGGGCACACATAGATGGCATGAGTGAAAATTAATTGTAAACACACTTTCTCAAATCCATAAATATACATATACTTTAAATCATCACATGCATGTTCGACTATAATTTTAGTTTGAGGATCTGGGTTATGTGATGAATAAAAACCAAAAGAATTGCGGATGCTGTAAATC